TATATTGAATGTATAGGTGTAATATAAAAATAATGTTTAGTATGAGGTGCAAATTCATGTTTTGTAACTAGGTTGTGTGTAGAGAAGCCCAAATAAAATTTATGCGAATACCACTTGATAAATTGGATTTGGGCCTTAATTAAATATGAGATGCAACTAGCAAGGGAAAATTACATACATAACAGCATGTCCATGAATATTTACATAACGAAATATTAACATGTGCCCACCGTGGGTAGGTGAGCATTTCTCATATGTAACCCATGCAAAACTTTAATCAAATGAGGATGAAAAAGTGATTTTACTCTCATTTGTACGAGATTTTGATTTCTCTCTCTTTCTCTCCATATATTAATCATGACCGAAATTCCCGCATGAAAAACGGTTGATTCTCTCTCCAAATCTGTTTCTCTCTCCAATTGATTCTCTTTCCAATAAGTTTATTTGTCTCCCCAAAAATAAAAACCATGCCATTAATAAAAATCATGCCATTAATGATAGTTACAAATTCGTTTCTCTCTCCAAAATCCTTTCTCTTTCCAAAAAATCTGTTTCTCTCACCAAAATAAAAATCATGCCAGCCCGTCAAAATATGAGTTAGAGTAATTGATCGTGAAAATATGTTCATATGTACTATATATATACATAAGATAAACAACATGTAAAAAATATGTAAATTAATTGTATAGTTATACGTAAGATAACCAACATATAAACAACACTGAAACGGGTTAAAACATAATACACAATTCTAAATGACAACAAAATATCCTTTGATATTAAGGATTGGAAAGCAAAAAATTCAGATAATATAGTTCTCTGTAATATCTCATTCGATAAGAAAAATCAGATATACTGTACATATACTACCTAATAACCAAATATTTTGTATATATACATCAAATAAACATGATTTGACAGTTCTCTAATATTAACTGTATAATTATACATAAGATAAACAACATATAAACAATTCTAAAATGGAGTAAGAACGTAATACACCTTGACATTCAAAAAAAAATTGAGATTCTAAACAATTGAGATTTGACTTGGCTCGGGGCTTGAAGGTTCTCTTTCTTTGACTTCCCTCCATGAATGTTTTCGTTTGCACCCCCTTTCTCATATGGTTCGATTGACGAGAAAATAGATGGCTACAAATAATTTCGAGTTTTTGCCAACCGTCCGCTTTCACATAGTCGTTGGATCGGGCAACCGCGCACTCAGGTCAGGCAAGCATCACCTTCGAGAGCCTTCATCAGTCCGGGCCTCGTGCGTTGCACTGCCGCTCATAGCCCCGTCGAAGTGGATCTCCATGGATTCGAAATTGAAAGGTAATTTCTAAAATTTGTGAATTGTGTGTTGTGGATTCGAAATTGAAAGGTAATTTCTAAAATTTGTGAATTGTGTGCTGTGAAAATTATAGAGAAGAAATCAAGGATCGAAAGAATGAAAGAAGAAGAAAAAAGATGAGGGTTATGGAGAGAGAGAAAGAGAGACAGAGAGAGAACACATAATAGATGAGGGAGAGAGAAAGAGAGAACTATTAGATCTAGGGTTTCTGGAGTTAGAGATAGAGAGAATCGAGAACGACAGAGAAAGAAAAATTTAATAATGAATTGATGAAAAATAATCTGTTTACAAAGTGCTATTTATACTGCTTCCT